ATCAAAAAACTTCTCTACTTAAAGCATTACAGTGAATTCTGTGTCCAGTACCTGTGTTTGTTTCTAACCAAACACTTCTCTACTAAATCATTTCAGTGAATTCTGTATCCCGTGCCTGTGTTTGTTTCTAATCAAACACTTCTCTACTTAAAGCATTCAGTGAATTCTATGTCCCGCGCCTGTGTTCATTTTTAACTGAACATCTCTCACATCTAGGAACTTAATTGTGGGTCTTCATACCATGACCATCTGTTAGGTTCAGCAGCCTTTTCCACTTTAGGACAGAAACCATTAACACATTCCTCTTTCAACTGAAGGACCACTTCACCAAGCTGCATGTAATCTTCTTTCACATTATACACTTGAACTGACACTCGGCACCACAAAGATGCCTGAATGCTGATAAAACATGCAATAACATTGTACTTGTGGTATACATCAGACATCATCTTGTCTGCTCCTTTTTGTGTGGCTCCATAGGCTGCAGACAGTTCTCCAGGGAGGCGGATGACAGCCATAAATGGAGCACGCATTGACTCTGGAATGGGAAGAACCTCTGTGTCCCAAGTTTCAGCTAATGTTGTTGATGCCCAAGTTGCAAGCTGGCTGTTGTACTTTGTTATTGCACCCTAGTTACAATAGATATTACACCTCTTCTTAGCTATTGGCTGTCAAGATCACCATTGATTGATTATCCTACTTTCTAACTGCCACACATTTCATTGTAATGTGCTGATCAATTCCAAGCATCAATACATTATCTCCCCTATCTCCCCCCTCCCCCTGGGAATTTGACTGTCATCTGTGCCTGGAGGGGGGTGTGGGAAATTTGAACCTTGCCTTAGTGGGTTGGGGAATTCAAACCAGCAGAAAACATGTTTCAATATTAAATATAGAGGAATTTAAAGATAAAGAGTCTGCTTTTGTGAGAAAATGGCTTAGAAGTAAATTTTTAAATCGCACAATGATGCTTATGAGCAGAAAAAGCCAAACAACAACACCAAAAACCAATATGTGACTTTGCAACTTTCTACAACATTTGTTGATCATCTAAAGATTGTTGGGAATTCAACTTTGTCTGGGGTTCAAAATGTACACAAGGAAAGCCCCAAAAGAACATCTTGGGGCTTTCAAGATGTTTTCTCTCATCAGAACTACTTCTGACCAATCACATTACTTTCAGACAAGACCCCTTTTCCTCATTCAGTCTCCTTAAATTGTTGGCCACTGATTTCCAGTTGCACAAAGATTGCACAGGAGAAAATCAAGAGAACCATGTACTCACCATGCCACCAATTTCTCTATAGAACTGCACAGCAGCTGCAGCTGAAGTATAAGAAGTGTGATCTATAGTACCCTGTTGAAAGAACCTGTCCTGAAGATTTTTGTCATGGAACCATGACACGACTTGAGGGATGATGACATCATGGAATTTGGGACTCACCCATAGAATAGCACAGCCACGAGGGGCAAAGAGCCATTTATGAAGATTCCCTAGAAAGGAAAATAAGAAAACTTTATTTACCAAGTTTTACTGTCAGTGAAAAAGATCTGCATGCATATTTAAAACTTACAATAAAAATTTAGGAAAGGTAACAAGAAATCATAGCAGGTATAGAACAAGGAAACATCTCCCATGTGAGGATTTTACCCCTACCCTACCCCCCCTACTATTGCACCTTTATAGTCCTGTATTCTGCTAGGGTGGGGTCAACAGTTAAAACCATCCTGAGTCAAAATCAGTTATAGAACCAGGAGAGATTTTCCAAAAATGTTCAATAAGTTTGAAAGGAAGTGAAAAGATTGTTTCTATTTCATTCCAGTAATCACCCTGCATACTTTTCTCTCCCTTGCCCCAGCCCACACATGGAGACTATAGAGGTGACAAAAATGAAAACAATTACAGACCTAATGGCTGAATTATTCATTAAGATCCAGAGAATAAAGGGAATGATCACCAACCTAAGAAGCTCTGATTGTTAAACCAATTCTCCTAGTCAGTACTAAAGGAAATGTACAGAGAAGAGTACAGAGAATGTGGATACTGATATTTGGGTGTAACGGGTTAACTTACCCACAAAAAAGTCTGCACCAATCCTCTCAAGATCCAATGGGATTTGTCCAGGAGCATGAGCACCATCAATCAACACCAAAGCATTGTGCTTGTGACAAACCTCTGATAGCTTTTTAATTGGAAGCTTCAATGCACTAATACTGGTGATTGCATCAATGATCACTAACTTTACATTTGTGTTCTCCTGCAAAACTTTCTCATAGTGTTCCACAATTTCAGTAACTTGGTACTTAATAGAACCAGTCATGTCTGAAGTTGGAAATGTGACATTGAGCACTAACAACTTTGCCTTCTTTTCTTGGCAGATTTCCTGAGCTGTCATTTGGACAGCACCGTAGGTCTGATTTGTTATCAGGATTCCATCCCCCTCTTGAAAATTAACACTGCGCAAAACTGCATTAATTCCTGATGTGGCATTGGCTATGAATACAAGATCTTTCACATTTGCTCCAACAAACTTGGCTACAGTTTCCAGAGATGAATTCCAAAGATTTTTCACCTTATATCTAAACCAGATATCAGGACATCTTTCCATCTCTTCCTGAACAAAAAAAAAAAAGAAACAAAACAATATAAACAGCTTACAAATTCAACATAATCTGCATTGCTAACTTCATTATTTCTTTTTCTTCTTCATTACAGTGACAGCAGACACTGAGTGGCTGGAAAATTACTTTTAAAAGCTGACAAAAAATCAGTTAGCAGGTGTGATACAGATTAAGTTTTACTTCTGAAAGAAGTCACTTAACACTTTAAGCTACATGGGTGGCAAAGAGTTGGACGGAATTTCTCCTTATGATATCAATATAATATCAAGCAAACAGGAAATGAGAATAAAAAAAATATCCATTATAGGATTATAAGTTGATCGGATCAATATCAGTATCTGGGCAACTGCCCACCTACCCCTCCCCTAACTCAACAACAGTCAATTGACAACAATTTAAGGTTAATGTTGGGTTAGGGGAGGGGTAGGTGGGCAGTTGCCCAGATACTGATATTGATCCAGTTGATCCACCACCAAATTGGCCAAGCTAACATCATCAAAATTGTAAAATTGGCAGACAGTAAGGAGAATTACTGATAAGATCTGAAGTAAACCCTGAAGTAAGTTTTTGTGGAGGGTTATCTGTAGTAAAACACCCAGAGAAATCCAAATACAAAAAAAACGTTAATTAATGTTAAAATTACCTGATACTTCCATTGTGTTTCTTTGACCTTCTTAGGAATAGTACCATATGATCCATTGTTAGTCACTACAATGCTTTCATCAAGGAGGAACAAGTTCTTTTTTATATTTTTACCAAACATGGCAAGCCTATAATCTTTCCCAAATATAAAGGTGAATACTGCACTAACAGACTTGATTACTGCTGCCCACCACACAAATACAACAAAAGTTCCCAGCTGAAGAATCCTGAGGTTTAAAAAAAAAAAAGATACCAAATCCTTGGTGTTACTACCATCACATTAACCTACATTATTCTATCTCCTAGTTAGCTATGACTGGTCAAGTTACAGGGTTGCATTTCACTGTACCACTCATTTAACCCTTTAACTCCCATGAGTGACCAAGACAGAATTTCTCTTTACAATATCAATACAATATCAACCAGAAAAGAGTGATGAGGATAAAGAAAAATATAAATTTAGGAATTAGTTGATCCATTACTAAATTCTCTAAACTAACATTATGATGATTGTATTGTTGACAGTGAGGAGAATTACAAATTTGATCTGGAAGTTAAAGTGTTAATTCAAAAGTTTGTGATTTGAACCTGTGACCTCTACAATATCTGTGCAGTGCTCTACCAATCAACATAACAAGCCAACTGGGAGCTTGTCAATATGTCATTTAAAAATAAACCCATGAAGTAATGAATAAATGACTGTGAATATATGAAAATCATATTTGTGACCTGCAGATGATATGTGAAAGTGATCTATATCTGCAGTTCACATACAAGGTTTTCATATATTCACAGTCAATCAAAATACTGTAGATTCGTAGATCAGTTGTAAAGTCAGAGTACTGGTCTGAATTTAAGGGCTATGGATGATAGACGCTCAATAAACTAAAGATTGTAGATGACATATGGTCTACCTTAAGTTTGTAATTCTCCTCCAAAATGGTTGACATAAATATGACATTCATGTGATCTTAAACAGATCAATTCCAGAAAAAAAAATCCACTGTGTACATTTTTATAACTTTAAAATTTCTGAGACTTTCAGATAATTTTTCTAACAATCATTTCCATTTAAATAGAAATGATTTAGAAATATACTCGAAGTATGCATACCTAATGTACTTAATTTTATGTAGTCTTTCTTGTACAGAAAGTATATCCACTTTTCCGTAAAATATGAAACAAGTAAGAAAAAGAGTGTATTATATCTCAAACAAATAGGTGCAATGACCACAAAAAATAAATATATTGGTAATATTATATTCAAGGTTAGTACGTGTACCATCTTGTGCTAGTGCTCGTGAATTGAATAAATTTCACAGTTTACTAAATTTCATTTTCCCATTGTAACGTGAGCTCAGTGTAGACTTGAACTATGAAATGATAACTTTAAAGAATACCTCCTCATACGGCTTCCTTTAAGAGAATCAGCATCCATAGTTTCCATAGGTAAAGATCCTTCAAACACGAATTCGCTTTGTAAACATACAACAACAAACTATCGCAACTCGATCGAATTTACTTCACATACGCGTTGTGTGAATTACAGAACAAAAGGTATGGACTGGAATGAATAGATCACTGAGTGAAGATTATGTAAAAGTTGTGACATATCGTCAGGTTTTTTTGAAAAAACCACTAAAACTCGTGCAAAAATTAGAATATTCCAGCAGATGAACCCCTGCTCGTGAAACTAGCCAATCAACCGCCAACGGTTTTGCCAACGTGAATAATTCCCATGATCCATTACAAGTGTGCGCTTCATCTGCGTCATTGTAGAGTCGGTTGATTGTCCTTTGATTTTGTAGCGACGTTAAGGTAGAATATCCTTCGAAATTCTCTTTCTTTTTTGCCCATCCATGATTCAGTTCACCTTGATTCGAAAGCACACAGCGGCCTTCTTAAGGCTACGTGGTTTTCGTCTCCGTGGAAAGCTATTTTTCCAACTAAGTGCGTTTCGCTCTTTTCTGTCAAGGCGGCACTTCTTGCATCATGGCCGAAGTTGGTGATGAAAACGAATTGTTGGACTACGAAGAGGAGGAGACAGAAACCCCAGCTGAAGCGCAGGCGACCAAAGATCTGGCAAAGAAAGATGTTAAGGGTACCTACGTCAGTATCCACAGTTCTGGCTTCAGAGATTTTCTCTTGAAACCAGAACTTCTTCGGGCCATCGTTGACTGCGGATTCGAACATCCTTCAGAAGGTATAGAAAGCCTACAATAATTTACGTTGTTGCTATATTTCAGTTGCAAAAACCGAATTCCCTTTTCCAGAAAGTTTTTTTGTGTCTTTCGTCCTTTGAATGTTTTTATTTTCCCTTCGATGTGTAAGGTGATGGAAAAGTCTCGGCTTAATAAAAATGTAGCCAGTAACTGTTTGAAATGAATATTAATGAGATAATTTATTAACAGAAAATGCTACAGGGCGTGAAATTAACTTTTTTTTCTGATAGCGACTTGGCTCCTAAGTTCTTCAAAGTGGTAGCCGATTCAAAAAAAGTTGGTCGCCATTTTCAAAGACAAACAAAATCTTTCTTTACGCTGTCAGCGTTCTAGATAGACCCTCCAAAATTAAGTTAGGGAAAAGATCTTTAACGTGCTACAAAGTGGACACTAGGATGGATGATGTACAACTTTCAGGCTCATCTTAATCCAATATGGCGTCTAGTTATCGATCGAGGTGCATGTGCTACGTTTTGGAAACAATCTTAACGAGGAAATTTGCCGCGGATTTATCTTTGGAAATCTTTTTAATTCGCTATATCTCTTGGTAAGGTTATGATGAAACGTTCTAGTGGCCAATTTGGCGACTAACTTTCAGGATTTGGTCGCCAAAGTGAAAAATTTAGGCGCATTGGCGCCTGTGTTAGGCGCAATTTCACGCCCTGTGCTATGATCTTTTGTTGTGAGATCCATCACCCATGTTTGGCCCAAGACTAGTTAGCTTTTCCATGATGGAAAAAGAAATGAAGTCACATCTTTTGAGAACTCATATTGGGCAAACAGGAAAGACCATAAGGAAATCCTGTAGATTACTGCATGCATGTATTAGGTAATAACTCGTTGCATCTACAGTATTTGCAAGGTTTTTTTTACAAGATGTTCCCTTCTTTTTCACAGTTCAGCATGAGTGTATTCCTCAAGCAATCCTGGGCATGGATATTATCTGCCAGGCCAAAAGTGGAATGGGGAAAACAGCAGTGTTTGTTCTTGCAACGCTTCAGCAGCTAGAGCAAATTGATGGCCAAGTCAGTGTGTTGGTTATGTGCCACACACGAGAGTTGGCCTTCCAGATCTCTAAAGAGTATGAAAGGTTTTCTAAATACATGAATAACATCAAAGTTTCAGTGTTTTTTGGCGGCATCAGCATCAAGAAGGACCAGCAGACCTTGAAAACCAACTGCCCACATATTGTTGTGGGTACCCCAGGCAGAATATTGGCACTGGCACGAGAGAAGTCATTAAATCTCAAACATATCAAGCACTTTATCCTTGATGAGTGCGACAAGATGTTAGAACAGCTTGGTAAGTGTTACAATCCTTCCCTCAGCAGCTCCTCCCTAGAGTTGTAGTTGAAGTTGATTTGTTCTGGGGTGTTGTTAGTCTCTTTTCCTTGAGCCTTGGAAGGGTTTAAATTCCTTGGGGGAGACATTTTTAACTTTCTTTTATTAGATTACCCTCTGTTGCTAAATACGTCCTCAATTCTTGAACAGCTGCTATCCATGCATTTATATTTGAACTTTCAAAAGCTGTATGTTTAAAATAGGGTAGGGAAGGGAGCAAAATACCACAATAATTAGTGGAGGTGCTCTCAAACCATTACCCCTTGATAACCCAAGAAATCACCCTGCTCTTGAAGTCCACTGATCAGTGTTGTCTCAAGTTCTACCTCACTCTTATTGCATTTAGCCTTAGGTCTAGGACTAAGGTGAATAGTATTAGTGATAGTATTGATTAATCTTCTACTGTTTCATCTTTCAGATATGCGAAGAGATGTGCAAGAGGTGTTCCGCATGACTCCACATGAGAAGCAAGTCATGATGTTCAGTGCAACACTAGCCAAAGAGATCCGCCCTGTCTGCAAGAAATTTATGCAAGATGTAATTATACCTCCTAAGTTCCATTGTGAAGTCTGTTGTTGAGCATTCATTACCCTCATGAAGGAGGTGATGGAGAAGCAGCTGTAAGGCTGATTGGCAATTATTGGCACTTCCTTGCAGCAGAGTTGTTTGGCTTGTTTCTGTTGGCTGGCTTTTGGACTTTTTTTTTTCTCTAATGATGGAGTGAGGGCTTAATAGATGGTTTTTTAATGAATAAGCTTGTTTGGAGCATGTTACTGGGTGTTAATGGTAGAGTTAGGAAAGTTGTATTAGCCAATAAAGTTGTGGTCAGTTGTGTTGGTTTGTGTGTGAGTTGATTTGGTCATTCCTGGTTATTAGCAGTGGGTCATTCATTGGCTTGTATTGTACAGTCTGTGTCTAGGGTTATTTGATGATGGTTGTATGTTTGGCTTGAAAAAATTGAGGTGGTTCCTTGTTGCAAATGTGTCTCTCTGCTTGGAGGTGCCATTGTTGCTTGTCACTATACCTTGGTTCAGTGAAGGAATGTTCGTGGTCAAACCTTCAGAAGTCTTGATCATGAAGTGTAGCAAGCTAGCTCAAGCAGGAGCAGCAGCCATTACACCAAGTCAACTGCCTCATCTGATGTCAGTTGGTTTCCTCTCCTTCAAGTTCCCAGCCCCACAAGCTGTAACTAATTGGATTGTGTGACGTGTTTGTGTTGTTCTTTTTTCATGTCAGATCAAACCTTTGGTAGTTTAAAATAACTTTTGTCGTTGTTGTGTATCTGTATTTGTCTGTATAAGGTGCCTGTTATGGGTTTTTTGCGTGTTTTGTTTTGTTTTGAATTTTTTCAAGGAAGATTTGTTGGTGACATGTTACAATGCCCAAGAGTGCATTAGGTTTTTCTTATGGTTTAAATTACCATGTAGTACGCTCTTAAGTACAGAGAGGTTGATCACTTTGATATTGTCAGGGAATCAATCTGTTTTTTAAGCTCCATTTTACATAGTAATCATCATAAATGTGAATTTGTTTTGTTGGGGTTGTTTTTTTGTCTTTACTTCCCCTTGGATGTCATAGTATTTTTTCCAACTCCCTCTTGTGGTAAAGAATGTTGTTCTGTTCTCTTAATTAAACAGCCAATGGAAGTTTATGTTGATGATGAGACAAAACTCACCTTGCACGGCCTGCAACAGTACTATGTCAAACTCAAGGATCAGGAGAAGAACAGAAAGCTTTTTGACCTTTTAGATGTATTAGAGTTCAACCAGGTATCTAGATGTAGTTATATTCATTTGAGGAGCTGCTGTAGTGAGAGGAGGACTCGGATCCAAATTGGATACAAAAGTGTCATGAGAGAATACCAATTTTGGAAAGATATCATTAAAAAAATCATTACAAGAAACCAAGTCAGCATTGGATTCCAAGACTAGCATTACACCATGAAATTGAGTAATACTCAATCAAGATCAAACTTTGTCACTCAAAACTGGTTTCCCCAAAAGTGTGTTGTGAATATTTTTCAAGAATAGGGTTTCAGATTTGCATTATCAGTAGAGTTCAGATAAAACAAAGCAGAAGCTTTGGTGTGGAAAATAGGGCTTCTTATGGGGAAGTTCTTAATAAAGACTGAACAATATTATAGCATTACACTTTATGGTTAATATCAGAGATTTCTAATTAACAAGTTGTGGTTATTTTTGGAACGTTTGTTTTTTGATGTTGGTTTTGAAGTTTATCTGGGCTTTTTGTGGTGGACAACTTAAATGCTTATACTATTTGCATTTGGGTCATCTTTGATCAAAGCTTTGACCTTCCACTTAACAGCTGTGTCCATGTTTTCTGTTGTTTCTCTATGGAGTATTGACTTAGTGTAAATGAACTTTTACAGGTGATAATCTTTGTCAAGTCAGTGCAGCGCTGCATTGCCCTTGCTCAGTTGCTGATTGAGCAGAACTTCCCAGCAATTTGTATCCATAGAGGAATGGAACAAGAAGAAAGGTGAGTGCCAGTCATTATGCAGTAAGTGATTTTTTCGTTTCAGTTGCCCCAATTTACAACCAAATGATGGTTTTGGAAGTTAAAAAATATGACGGCTTGAATAGGTACTTTTTTCCCCATTTATATACACAGAAAAGATACTATGGTGAGGATCAAACTATCTCCTAAGTTTTGATACTTTGTTTCCTTGTGGAGCCACCCTGTATTTCTTTTCTCTGTTAGGTTGAAGCAAGTTTAAAAAAAATGTGTCTGAGTTATATATTTATTTCTTCATTCTAACCATAAGTTAACTTTGGAATTTTGACCCCTTATACAAATTTTTTTATGGAATACTTTGTTGTCATTTGCAGATTGTCTCGCTACAAACAGTTTAAAGATTTCTCCAAGAGAATGCTGGTAGCCACCAATCTGTTTGGTCGTGGAATGGATATAGAAAGAGTTAACATTGTGTTTAACTATGACATGCCAGAGGATTCGGACACCTACCTTCACAGGGTTTGTTAGCAAGAATATATCCTTCGTGTGCAAGCCAACTTTTTCCTACTATAACTTGCTCTAGGATTGTACTGCTGTTCAAGCTTAATTATATCTTGGAGAATGTATTGTTTTTCATTTTGATGATTTCCTCCTTAAAGGTTGCTAGAGCTGGACGTTTTGGCACCAAAGGTCTTGCCATCACCTTTGTCTCAGATGAAAAAGATGCTAAGATATTGAATGAAGTCCAAGATCGCTTTGAAGTAAATGTAGGAGAACTCCCAGAGGAGATTGACCTTTCAACATACAGTAGGTGTTAAAGTTTCAGTGTGGAAATTTTACTCTAAACATTGTTTTTTGCAGCTGTTCAATTGGATACAACTGATTTCTTTAAAAAGGAGAATTAAAGAGGCCTTTAGTAAAATTTCAAACATGTGGCAATGTCACAGGAATTTTATGTAGACAACAAGTAGGCTGCTAGTTTAAGATCTTCTATTTTATAATTACTGAACTTGAAGGAAATCTAATGGTACAGGGTTTAAACAGGTTTTCTTTCTATTTTTCCTTTGCAGTTGAACATGTACGTTGAATTGATGAAAGTCAATCATAAGTGCAGGATCTTGTAAATTAATAGCATAAGAAGTACCAAGGAAATTATTCTGCTCAACTTTCCATTCATTTTTTACATAAAACGTGAGGTTTCAGGAAGGTGTCTCTTTCTGAAACATTTTATCTATCAGTTAGTACTTGTGCATAAGCACAGGCTTTTTTTCTGTTTTTAACAATGTGTGTATTTTTACTGATCATGGAATAAATGAATATATATGAAATGTGGCTATATCTGTTGGTTCAATTATCTAATTCATGGGTAACACCCTAAAGGACTTATTGGTGAAGAGAGAAAGACTTGTGTAACAAGTTGAAGACAAACAAAACCCTTTAAATGCATAGAGCGACCAACTTCAAATTTCTCCTAACAACATTCGAGAATAGAGCAGATGATCCAAACTTAAGAATTTTGTCCCAAATCCATGAGTCAAAATTGCTTCTCTATGGTCAAGTACATCTTGGTGCGTCCCCTCACACTCGTTATGCTAGAAAATGACATTTGTCTCGGATACTCCTCTTAGGCTGTTAATCCACCCTTGAAAACAATTATTTCAAGGTGTTCTTCCACCGAGGGCTATTGTTGTGCCGGTGGTTACTTCCTATCTTAGATTACTTAAGGTTTGAGGTCAATCACAATCGTCGGAGATTCTTGTAAATGGGACGAAACCATCGGAAAGGAGATGGATTAGCTCCGAGTCAGTCGACACCACCAAGTAATGAGCGAAAGCATAAAAGGGGTAAGTTTCTAAACTGTGATGCTGCGGCGCATAACATAATTTAGTGATAACAACTGAGTTGAAAACGTTAATTGACCACCGTAAAGAGTTTGAAGGCTGACGTTTCGAGCGTTAGCCCTTTGTCAGAGCGATTGACTAAGGGCTAGCGAAACGTCAGCCTTCAACTCTTCACGGTGGTCAATTTACATTTTCAACTCAGTTGCCATCACTAAATTACCTGTTAATGAACGAAAGCGTCTGACGTAGTGCGGGAATGTATGAAGTCAGTCTTTACCTGCTACTACCAAACCATCCGGAAAGTATAAGATTTCGTCCTGGGCAAGCCAAGTGGCCCATCCAGCAAGAGCTTATTCCGGTTTCATCAGCATGAAGCGACTAGGAGTATTGCTACTTCCCCTGGATGGGATGCTAGTCTATAGCAAGGTTACCCACAACATTTCATCAAGATTCCCTGACAATTCATTGGTACCCATTTATACTCCTCCAGGGCCCAGTTTGAAGGTTGATTAGTGCTAACCCAAGGTTAAATTTTAATCTGGATTTCTTAATTCTTTTGTTCAAGTGCCTTTTTGGGATAGTTTTCCGTGCTCTTTATAGAGCATAAAATAATCATATTCTGGACAAAAAGAATCCGACTGACTTTTGTTTTCAAGCTATCAGATTTGAAATCAGATTTCACACTAGCCCTGGGTTATCTTAACCTAGCTTCCGGCCCTGGGTAGTGAAAAGCACTGTGGGAGTAGAGACCAAGAGACCGCCAGAAGACCTGAAGACCCAGAGACCTTAAGACCTATCGGCCAAAAGACCAAAAGACCTACGACCTAAAAGGTCCACAGAGCAATTTGGCTCAAGATATAACTTTTGACGTCACTGGTGCGTTTTTTACACTGCACATGAGCTTATTAGTCTTATCTGCTTTCTTGACAATAATCTTTGTCATGGCTGGCATTTTTATGTCAAAGAAGAAGATCTGGAGGGGAACATTCTTTTTTTTAACAAATTGCTCGATAATACTCCTCTTCACGTTAAATGAGAAATTTTTGAACAGGAACCACAAAGCTATAGTCTCTCTCCTCACAAAAAGGAAAGCCCTGTGTGACGACACTGAAAAACCTGAAAGGTTTATGCCAGTTCCAGTCTCTGCGGTCTGTCTTGCGCAACAGTTGCATTGAACACGTGAAGTGAAAGGGGTCAGCGAGTTGTCTGGTACAGTTTGATGGTGTCAATTTGTAAATATATGGTTTCTCGCCGCTTTACCACAGCGGTACAGCTATCAGCAGAAATCATGCAACAAAGGACTTATGAAGTAAGTTGGTTTGGGGGTTGTTTTGCTTTTACGAAGATTAAGAAGCAACCGAGACTTTAATTTCGTTGCTCAGATATGCAAAGCTGAAGGGCGGTCATGGTTACTGTTTTGAACTTGCATTCATCGTGTAAATTTTACCAAGCATCTTTGACGAGATCTAATGACTTTCTTTGAAGGATGCTGTGAAGAAACTAAACTCTCTTCAAACGAATGCTCAAGTCCTGGAGCAAATCCGCAAAACACGGGGAAGGCTGGCACAGAATAACTTACCGGAGATGAGAAGCTTCACTGAGCGAGCTGGGGTTAAAGTGAGTTTTACTGGTTACACTATCCTTTGTTTGTTTTTTAAGCTACCGACAGGTTATCTGTTCGTTATTCTTTTTCACCTACAAGGCTCGGGAACGTGTCAGAAGCATATACAGTGTGTAACTTTAGAAATTCTTGCCATTGTTGTTGTTATTTCACGTGACGTTATTTTACTTTCGTGACAAATGTGAATTTTTGGCGGGTAATCATGTGTTAACAAAATTAGTGATCGTCATTTGAAGGTGAGATGTGTGGCCATGTCTGTGTTTATGGGGTGAAATGGGTAAAAACGTGAAATGTATTACAAAATTTTAATTCTTTTCCTTAACAATCTTTCCTTAATGTTGTCATTTAAAGTCTGGTAGAAAAGCATTAGAGAGCGCGATTTGAAACACTGCACTGTGCTATTGCGCGCTGAAGCTTGTCAAGTATCCAACATACTGTCTCTCCGATTGATTGTACAAAGTAGAATCAGTTTAATTTAATGAGATTTGTGCAATGAGAGCGTTATTAAATTCATGAAAACAACCATTCAGAACAACTCAGATGTCTCAGTTATAGTTAAGGGGGTAAGTTTCTAAAGAAACTGTGGTGCTGCGTCGGTAGGAGAGTACAACAGGGTAATTTAACTGTAAAACTCTGATGAAGGGCTAACACTCGAAATGTCAGCCTTTAAACCCTTTACAGTGACCAATTTAAATTATCAGCTCAGTCGATAACTCTAAATTACCCTCTCGAATATATTCATCAGATTTGATTGGGTTCAATAATGCACTTTGTATTATTAATTGCCAATATTTTTCAGAAGAAACAAAACCAAAGCCAAAAAAAAAAAAGATGAGCAAATGCCAAGTGAAGGTCAATGAGGCAAATTTAGTTTTTACAGAGGCAGCACTGATTAAATATTCATCACTGATTTGACAAAAGAGTGAAAGGTGCATATATCAATTGAAATCAACTTGAAACAGTTTTTTAATCATGTGTTTTTGAACTATTAAGTTCACAAGAGTGTAATTCTTTTATTAACTAACTTCTATTTTGCCTTTTGGGGTTTTTTTTTAATTATTGCACTTTGCATTTTATTGGTGACAACTTTATTGTATATAGTTGTTTCTTCTTAATTTAACTGGACGTTGTGGCTCCATTTGGATGAAGGGTAGCATTAAATTTTGGCTTACAAATGGAAGTTCAGAAATGTTTTAATCACACAGAGATACTATTTGCAAAGAATAAGATATGGTGGCTAATACCCCCTTGAATTTTTAATAAGAAAATGGTTCTTTGTTCATAGATGGAGGATCTAGATAAGCTGTCTATTATTCACATTAGCGGCACAAAAGGAAAGGTACACTATCATTGATTATTTTTTATTCTGAAGTAATTCATCTAGCCATCTGGTATCTTTTAAACCTAGATTAGCTTAAATCACACATTCCTAAGTTCTGTTGAAGTGTACAATCAGGTAGACCTCCCATGATTCAATTATTTAAATTTATACTAACAGTAATACTCCATATTTCAGAATTTCCTTGCTTTCAATGTTTGGTTGCAGTCCTAATTTCATATCTGCAGGTTCCTGTTTTTTTTACTTACACAAAGAATGATGTAGTACATATTAGTTGAACTGTCAATGTTCAGTGGTTGATTATTTATGAACCCTCCGACTCTCAGGAGTGACCCAAAGAGAATTCCCTTTTAGATTTTCAAGCTCGAATTTTAGGTTGATTGAAGAAAAATCATTTGCCTATTTTAGAAACAACTTTAAGGTTTTCCCTGTATTTCTTTGAAGGGCTCAACTTGTGCATTTTGTGAAAGTATTCTACGTCATGAAGGCCTGAAAACTGGATTCTATAGGTAAAATGAATACAGATGTAAAATCTTGTGTTGAACAAACAAAGGAGAATTTACAAGGACCAAGAACTAGCAGTAAATTCACTATAGGTGCACTACAGGTCTGATCAAGGAAAATTAATCAGGAGCTTTTGTTGTGATATCATCAGCTTTAAGACTCAAGTAGGACTTAATAGTTGTCTTTGGTCAGGTTTTACCTGCTAGTAAAGTTTGTTTGTTTTGTTTGCTTTGTTTTGAGGTATTTATACCCCTGCTACAGTGTAGCTTCATGGTGCAAAGATCAGGATGAAACACTCACTACTAGTAGTGTAGTTTACAATAGAATTTTATTTGTAACAGAGTTTAACCATGCAAACTTGTGTCACCCAGCTCACCACATTTGATGGAGGTCAGAGAGAGAATCAGAATCAATGGGAAACCATTACCTAAGGAGACGTTTGCAAAATATTTCTTTGATTGTTGGGATAACCTATTAAATAATGGTGATGTAAGTACCAAGGTAATTAAGTACATGTTATTTAATGCTTCTTGCATGTCAGAAAATACATAAGCTAAGGGGTGAAGAGTTTAGAAAGTGCAATACATTGGTATACTGTCTCAACACTGTGTAAGGTTTCTGATAAATGTTTTGGTAAACTGAACCTTACAAAATACTAGTGAATTGGTTGGATAATAAATGAAGATGCATCAAAATACAATAAAACTTTCAGTGATGAATTGCAGTATCAAATAGAGAGAGGGGGTTTAACAACTTACAAATGTACCAGAAGTAACTAGACACTTTGTAAGCTTAACCCTTTAACTCCCAAGATCTCATTATCAATTCCCCTTACTGTCTGCAGAATGATTCTCATTATGTTAGTTTGGGGAATTTGGTATAAGATCCAATTAGTACTCGTATAATGGATATGTTTCTTTATTCTCATCACTTGTCTGCATGATATTGTATAGATATGGTAAGGAGAAATTCTCTCTTGGTCACTCATGGGAGTTAAAGGTTTAAGTCTTTTTTCCCCTCTTACTTC